TAAGTATGCCTTCTGTAAGTCATTCGTTCGTAAGGTTAGTCTGGACCACTCTTAGCTATACCTTATCGCTGTTCACAGTTCACTCCGCTAGTGGCCACCACTGTGCAAAAAGCTTCTTCACATTTCAGTCGATACGATTGTAATTCTGTGGCAAGAAAAAGTGCAGAACCAAATAAATATTACAATTCTAAAGTTGTAATACACCCAGTGTTCAATTAGTGTTCAATTAATTGAAGTGTTTTTATGCAAAGAATAAAACTGTCATTATACTGATGGTTGTTAGTTTTCCCATTATTAATATTTGGCAGCACATAATTAGGAGTCTATTTAAAGAGAATGAATGTGATGGGGAGTTTGGTCAAACTATAGCAGCGAGACAGCGAATAGTTGTCCTACCCCCTTATTTGCCTTGCGCGATGTTACAACGGAGAGTCCGTCATTCATTCATTGCTTAAAATGGCGGATTCAGGTACGTTCCCGACGTCAACACCACCTTCCAGGCTCTACAGTGCGACCGAAAATTACTGCGTGCGACTATAAATATTTTTTTAGGAGCACCAGTGTGACTGACCCGATCATCATCATACTTGTGATTGCGCTCAGGGGAGCTTCAAATGTTTCTACGTGTTTTTGCAGCATTGAGTAATGTATCACAGACATATCTCACGAATCCTTTCATAAGCAAAGGGAGAGATTCATTGCGCAGTGTAGAGAGCTTCGTTGATTATAGATGTGAGATCGAGATGAACTAAGATGAGTGCCAGCTTTTAATGATTTTTAAAGGAGTTTGTAAATGTGATACTGATTTAATACAACAGTTCAATAGACAATAAGTTAATATTAAGTGACTTACATTGTCTGACTATAACACTATTGTCTGATTTTGCTCTATTTCGTCGTTGAAAATAGTTTAAAACAAAGTCACAGCTCAGCCGCTGCGCATCTCCATTCAAACACAGCGATGAACTGCGTTTTTAAACGAATCTTGAGTCAGTGAGTCATAATTACCCATTCATAAATACTGTCCATTGCTTCATTCCTGAATGAATCAGCCGTTCGAATGAATCAATTGAATGAATGATTCAGTGATAAAAATCAGTGACTTACCGCATTTAGTTTGAAATTTGGATTATTTTATAAATGCAGTGAGCCCCGATAAATGCAATTTCTAATATTTCTAAAGTGTTTCTTTATAACGAACATCACTTTACCCGCTCTATAATGCAGTGAAAGAGCTCCTGTATTGAACAATCGATTCTCGAGCCATCGATATCAACCTATTCAGCACCACCGCCATGGACAGTACCTGCTAACGTCGCACGTAAGAAGGTTTACCTTAAGCAACAACCTAAGGTATAGTTCGGGGAACACGTCTAGAGCAGGTATACCTTTAGTTAAGATATACCTTTAGAGTCTTCGTAGCGAGCTAAGAGACAACGTTATCGGGAAACGCAGCCCTTGTCTTCTCAAGAATTAGGAAAAAAGTAATTAACTGCTTTTGAACAAACAATTACAATTAAATGTAAAAAGCACCTTAGAGCTATAGGCCCCTAAAACCAGTCAAATTATTCAAACATGTAACAGAAATTGAAATAGACCTGAGACTAAGAAAATACAGTACGATTTAAAAAATGCTTATTAGGACATGCAGTGCAACGTAAAATATATCAAATTAAAGCCCCGTTCACACCAAGAACGATAACTATAAAGATAACGATAAAGATATAGTTCTAAAAATCGTTCTCCATATTAAAGAATAGCAGAGTCCACACCACAACTATAACGATAAAGACAAAGAGAAACGATATCGTTGGAATCACTTTCAAAACGATTTTTCTCCAGCTGATGAACGATAAAAAATTGACAGCCAATCAGAATCCATCCTGCTGTAACGAGCTCGAGAATTTAAAGCGGCAGACGCATGTGCGCTTAGAATAAACAGACGATATTGTTCGCTGGTGTGGACGCTAATATCGTTATCTTTATAGTTATCGTTGTGAACGGGGCTTAAGACTGCCAGGCAATTTAGATTTTAAAGGAAATGTAAAGTTTTAAAGGTTAAAAGAGAACGCAATATGAATTTAAAAATAGAAAAATGTTTTCTATTTGATTCTAATTTTCATATTAGCTATACAAACCTAAAAACTAAAATGACCTGACTGATTAAATAGCTTAAAAGAATAGTTCACCCAAAACTGAAAATTTTCTGTTAATTTACTCACCCTCAGACCAACCAAGATGTAGGCGACTTTTTTTTTCTTGAGTAGAACTGTAAAGAAGATTTCTGGTAAAGAAGATGTCCGGTTTCTAGCCTATTTCTTTTTAGTGAACTAGATGAACCAGTTTACCAAATCGGACTGAACCGTCAGTTCGTGACTTGAGCAGCACTGATCTACAAGTTACTCAATCAAAACTCACTTTCGGACATGCCTGACAGTCACGCCAAATCGAAATGAGCCAAAATACCATATATGATCCTATGATGCTGGTTTTTACCGGCTCATCCAGTGCCCCAGTTACTCCAACAGTACACTGCACTGAGGAAACAGTTCTGACTCAGAAGACCGGTGATAAGTGCATGCATGAACCAAGCACTTGAATGAAGGGGCGAAATTAAAGTTTTTATAGTTTGTCTTTGTTTATTTAAAAAGGTGAGCTGATGAAGACCAGTTCACTTATTCACTTTATATGCTATAGACTTGCAAAACATCCGTGATTCACATCATTACTGGGTGCTTTAATAATATGATTTCGTATAGCCTATGTTTAGTCATCGCATCATTACATCAAATAATTCATAGAAAAAAATTGTCCGAAAGAGCCAGTACACGGAAAATAATCAGATTTATGTGGATTACAGGTAATAATAATAATAATTACAGGTAATAATGTCACATAAAGCCACTGACTCGCATTTTATGAATCACCAAAGACCACGGTTTCAGCTAAAAAAATGTTTTTACTGTTCAACTAAAAACATAAATAAAAATAAAAGTCATCACCTACATCTTGGATGGCCTGAGGGGTGAGTAAATTAACAGCAAATTCTAATTTTGGGTGAGCTATCCCCTTTGCACACTCCAAACAGGGTCAATCCATTATTGGGACGAAATAAAAATAACCAATGAGGCAAAATGCACAGATGCACAACATGTGATGCCTCTGCCATAAAGCTGTGTAATGATACAGCAACAGAGACTTTGGAAGCCTGTCTTAAGGGAGTAAAGGTGCTTAGCTTTTTTTGAAATATAGTGGCCCTTAACACACTAGGGTCATTTAGCATTAATGATGGATAAAAAAAAATTTCCGGACAGAAATCTCATGACAACCAGCATGCATTGAATTTGGTTTGAAATAATTGGAAATAGATTTCAATCCATATTTCTATCCCATCTTTTGGTAACATACAGCATAGAACATGTGAATGTCAGAGGTTAGGTCAACAGGGTGAGAGAGAAGCTTGTACTTCATATCGTGGTTTTCCTCCCAAAGGTAGGTCATGCCGTTCTCTGTGGCAGGAGAGCTGCAGTGATCCAGGGACACATGAAGCCAAGGGTCTTTGATGACCTTTTCCGATTTTACATCGACCTGTCCAACTACTTTCAACACAATGAGACGCTGATAATTTTCAAGTGCCAAACTCTCCACTTTGCCAAAGAACACTAGAAACACACACACACACACAGAAAAGACAAGATCATTAAGTCTACTTCCAAAAAATATTATTTAGCATTTCAGGTTGCACCACAATAAATGTTCAAGAACATCACCTGTTTTATTGCACATTTCAGGGATCAGGTCCATAAGTGGTTTAAGCCTGTATTCTGCAGGAGAGCTGTTAGGCTTTGGTGTTGGTTTGAGATGTTCAGCACAGCAGCTCCACAGGGATGTGTTGTAATAGATGGTGGTCATAGACTTCTGAACCACAACAGAAATTGCCATTCATCTTGTTGTGGCTAAATATAAATAAGTTGGAAAGAAAAGTCATTCAACAACCAACACAGAAGATGCCCGAGGCTATTTTTTCAGGTTGTTAGTGGTTTTAAAATTTCTTGAGGGTTTATGGGGTGACCCTAATGACTGAGAGACTCCCGCTCTAAAGCTGTGCCATGTGAATAAGTCTTAGTGAAGTAAGCATGTTCCTATGACGTCTCTGGACGTATCAGTTAGACTTGAATTTCCAGTTACAGACAAAGCCTCTTTTGTCAAGACGGCATGGGTAAAGACATACATGAAATCAGGCTACAGGCCAAACACTGACTATCTGCTATTTTTTTAATGGTTTTGCCTAAAGCTACTAGATTTTTGGAGCTTGAGTAACTTTTTACATTGTATATAAAGTTGTACCCCTAAAGAAATGATCTTTCATTTTGACAAATATGTTAATCTACATAAGGCAGGTCACCCCCTCATGGTGGTTGTGTTGTTAAGATCAAGGGTCAAGGTCTGGTTGGTTGGCATGGCCCACTTAGTGCATGCTGGTAACTATATAATCTGGATCTACAGCATTGAAAGTCATTTAAAAATAGCTCTACATTGTGAGGAAATGAATTTAGTACTGTAGATAGCCCATAAAGATGCTAACTACACAACCAGCTGAATACTACTCATTTTGCTTGCAAAATTAATCAAAACATAGATTATTTAAAACATGAGCAAAAAATACTAAGGGCCAGATTTACTAAACAGGATAAATAAGACATGCTTTTTGGGGCATTAAATAATGGCACAAATACCAGTAAAATATCACAAACCTTAGTAAATCGCGTTGTACGATTCATTTCATTTTAGTTTTTCAATGCGTGTCTTTAGTAAATCAGGACCAGTCTTCCCTCTATTTTTTGTCTTGCTGAGCAAAACTTTTCTCTATTGTGTGGCCACCTGAGCAAAAACATTCTTTATACCAGACCTGTACAGCGCACACACAGAAAAGGGTGTAACTTTTAACTTTAATGTGCTATTTATATTTTATTTGACCCTCGATTTAACTAAATGATGCACATTTTAGGTTACCTGGGAAAACATGTTTTGCAATGCTGTCATACCAAGAAATTCTATTAAAAGTAATTTTTACAAATCTCACGCAGAACAGTTAAATTCTTTATATTAATATTCTATGAAACCTGTAAACCGCATTCACCGGTTCTAAATCTATGGCGACACCAACTCTATAGTGGTTTGCCCCGAGCATTGCAATTATTTTGCATTTACTAGAATTCAATCAAATGGCTTTCCCAATTCATTTTTGTGTGTGTCCTGTGCCCGCGCATATTATTTCTTCTGCGTGGTCATGATGTAAGAAGTGCACGGCCACGTACGCGTGTAACTTGGAGGGAACATTGATCAGGACAGCAGTTTTATGCCCAAAGAGGGTTTGCGCTGGCGCAGAATGTTAGTAAATCTGGCATAAAAGTTGCTTTTAAATCATATCAAATTTTTGTAATCTGTAGGCCTACCTGCATCCGTTACAGCAAATATGTGTGTGAGGATTGAAGGTTTGTCTTCCACAGCAGTGCCTACCAAGACGGGGACGAGCAGACATTTGGCAAATAGTGTTTGATGGAGTATATATAACACCTCCAACACACTCTGACTGCTCAGGCACATTGAGATGAAGGATTCCATTACAGCACAGCACATTGTCATCTGACAGAGTGTAAACATCTTTGCCACAGCACTGAAGGACACAGGTAAACATAGTAGGTTAATGTATGCAGAGTTTTTGAATACTCTATAATATAATTTCTCCAAATACTTCATAAGCAAATTTTACTGAAAACCACAGTGTTCAGAGAAATGTCCAATTTATTGGAATTTCTGTCCCTGCAGAACTAAGCTTCAAGTCAAAAGGTAATACCTTAGTAAGTGCTGAAGCCTTCTCATGAATATTCACTGAGCAACAAATTTGTTTCTGGGGATTGTAGGGTGTTGATCCACACTTCGATTCTAGAACAGAATGAGTAGGAGTGTGAGATTATTACAAAAATAACTATACAATCATCATAATTTCCAACAATGACAAAAGTGATTTATATAAATTGGACATATCAGGTTAGGCAAGTATTAACTGAACAGACTATCAATGGATACTGAAACTAAACAGAACATTATCCGATCAAATGATAGATTTGTAAAATTATTAATACACAATGAGGATGCCAAGTGCTTTACCTGAGTTTTTGGAGAGTTTTCTTGAGATTTCCAGTAACACATAAAAACAAACAGAAAAATTATTATAAAATAGACCTGTAAAAAAAATGTGTTTTCACAAACTGAGGGACAAATCAAAATTATTTTCTGTAGTAGTCAACATGTCACAGATACTGTTGACACAGTTTTAACACAGTCTTTAAGCCAGAACATTGTGTGTGACTCACCGGGTGGGAAGAGAGCCTTGCTGGCATTCTGTTCTTTCATCAGTGTCTGTGAGAATAAGATTCAGATTACAACCTACTAAAACAAATGACATATCTATTACTGTTTGTCTAATAATCACACCTTTTGCTTTTGGACAGCAAGTTTCATTTTTCGGCTTTACTTCTAGTGTAAGGTTAGTACAGCAGCAGTGGGTTGTCATGTCATACGTTTCTTTGCCACAACAAGAATGATTTTCCTTCCATTGAAATATGTTGCCGCCACCACAACACAAATGAGTCGTTGTCCGGTACATGACTGTAAATGAGTGTAAGAGAAAACTCATTATAAAATAAGCCTTACTTGATCTAATGGTATGAAGATCAATCAACCTTAAAAAATGTAAGCATGCAAAAATGTGTCAAATCTGAACAATGTGGCCATCAATCTGTTCAAGGTGCATGAAGTGCATCGGCTACCTTTGCCACAGCATTTCATGTGAGTGCTGCTTCGAGTCCGAATCCTTCCATCACAGCAAATCTCGTTAAGGGGATTGTAAGCTACAGAATCACAACAGTCAGCCACCAGCTGGCTTAATCCCAGAGTTACATTTCCTGCAACACATTGAAATATAAAATGTGTTCAATCATTGTGTATGTCCTAAACTCACTGTGAATCACATCCTCTACTCTCAGTGACTCAGCTACCACAAACTACCACAAACTAACAGCTGCAAGAGCCTCTCCTACCATTACAGCAGGAACTTTCTGAGATCTTGTAAGATACATTTCCACAACAGTGCAGATGATGGCTGCCTTCCATCTGTCCACTGAAACCTGCATTGCTGCTGACATTATAAACAAGACAGATTACTCCCATTTTACTCTTACCAAATCATTCTTTTAATTTACATTTAAGTGTTCTATGATAAAATATATATGTAATAAATAAATAAAAAATCTCTTATGAAACGGTGCTCAGAGGCTCAGCGTTAGCGCTCTGTGTGAGGTCACTCACTGGCTCCCTCTGTCATGATGGCAAATACCTAAAGAACAAAGAGATTATTCATTTTGAAAAGTGGTATCTAGTCTCATTTTGATAAGACAACTCTAAATGCTAAACATTAAAGTCAACATGAATATGACATTGACTTAATGCAAGTTTCTGGTCTTATTGTAAACAAATTTATCAGTGCAAACAATTTGTAATCTTGAATCAAAATGCAATAACTTGTTCTGCCTCTGAAATGACTTTTCTTTTTTGCTGATGTTATCATAACATGAAAAAAGTGAATGTAAAAGGGCACATGATTTATAGTATCACATGATTTTTAAAATCACTCCCCTCCCACCTGGCTCCATTCTGGTTTGCAACACCCACTTATCGCAATTCCTGGCACACAAAAACAAACCTCTCCCTCGAATTTTAGTAAGAAAAATGGGTTGCATTTCATGTTAACTTCAAAAGGTTCAGGATGAAAATTTTGGAAGAAAATATTTTGAAAAAACGTCACACGATTCTTTTCATTAATACAGTGGAAGTCAGTGGGGTCCAAAATAACACTGGACCCCACTGACTTTCATTTAATGGACAAAATATATTATTTTGTTTTCCAGAGAAGTGCATCATACAGCTTTGTAATGACCTGACGGTGAGTAAACAATGATAATTTTTTGGTTAACTATCCCTTTAACATTAGCTTGCTCTATTCTTTTTCTATTCTATCTGTTTTCTTTTTATTTATTATATAATAAAAAAAACCTTGCTACGTGTAGGTAAAGACAGTTTTGTTATTTTAACATTAATATTTTTAAAAACAGATCTGCATTTGTTAGAAGGTATTAATGAAGGTGGTTCCTACCAAAAGCCTTATTTAAATAGTGAATATTATATTTATTTCGTTCAGTTAAGGGTGTATGGTTTGGTTAAGTACCACTACATATTATAATAAACATTTAAATGCAATTTCCGCAATTGGCACTCAACAGATTTTGCAACAAACAAAACAATGCGGAAACGAGAAGGGTTTAAAAAAAAAAAGAGTACTTTGTATTGGTGCATAGTTTGCAGCGATACAGGGACTGACAAGATAACAAAAACTGGGCTGCGTTTTTGGGAAACGCAGTCAATAACTGTCTGAAAAAGAAAACAAAGACTAACTCTGCCCAGCATCACAAGCAACAAAACAAACAAACAAAAATACGTGTCAAAATTATAAAATAAAACAACGGAATTCATCACAAAACTTCCCAAATTCAGTTAATCATACTGCAGAGCTCCCAAATCACGTCAAGCGCTACTCTACCACGGTCATCACGTTACTGTCCCTCGCCGCCCAGTCAAAATGGTATCCAGTCTCGGTGGGTGTGTAACAGTGCTTTCTAATGGTTCCTTCATTAGTGGGTCTGAATTTGTTAAGCGTCCAGATACGCAATTTGCCGTCTTTGGGCTTTGCGGTACACGGGGAAGTACCTCACGCAACTAACCGAAAAATGAAAAATATTGTGCACTCGTCGTGACACACTCAAGCGCGAGCTCGCTGAAGCTGAAATCGAAACGTCTCCGCCTCCATCCAGCAAAAAAAAAAGACAGCGAGAGAGAGAGATTGTCTTGCTAATTTACATTTACTCTCCACTTTAGTGGTTGCACATTATTAATTAGACTCACTTAATTATAAATTTAATATCCACTCGTATAAATACAAAAATAAATAATATAAAACTAGAGTAATTGCCAACATGTCTAAAGTATAATTAGCCTATAGTGTTTCCTTTCTTACCTTGCGCAGAGGCTGTAGCAAAAATGTACAAGATTGTCACTACACCTGCAATAAAAAATACAATGTTAAAATAAAAATAAATACATAAATAAATGAACAAATTAAACAAATCCACAAAATACTAGGTAACTTAGAACTTCAAAAATGTGTTGTCATACATGCAGTTGATGAGTAGATCTCCATTGTGTATCCCTGTTCAATAAAGTTTGAATATCCCAAAGACAGTGGGATGAGAGTTTATGTACTCCAACATAACATTTTTGCTCCGCCTCTGCAGACTGCAGTAAGAAAGGACCACAAATTGTGATGCCCAAAAGCACATAAAGGAAGTAACATGTATGGACATGATAATGCAGTGATTCAATATTTATTTTGGCTGATGTTTGGCAATATTGCATCAGTGCATATAGGGTTGATTAGCGAACTGCACAGTTTTCTGAGATACATATTACCACATTTCAGTAATGTTATATTTGAATATATATATATGTGTGTGTGTGTGTGTGTGTGTATGCATGCATGTATGTATGTATGTGTATGGGCTTGAGGCCGTGACACACTGTCAATTGATGAAAGCAAGCAAATGACTAAGTCAAGAGGGCAGGTTCTTATGATTTTTCAACTTAATGTCACTTGTGATATGACATCTGCTTATATGCAGAGTTATTCCCTCTCATGCAGGTGCAGAATGTAGTTGCCCTTTGGCTGTGGTCTTTTGGGTGTGTTCAAGGTTTTTGGCCCAGATGCAGGCAGCGTTAGGCTACACCATAATTGGCTTTTGACACTGCTAGATGTTTGATGTATTTTGGTGTGTCTGTGTCTGTTGTCAATAAACTTTTGGTGTTTTCAAAAAAGTAATTGCAGAGTCTTGCATCAGCGGCCTTTGTGAATATGATTATAGGGAAAATAGTTATAATAGATTCTTAAAGGGACAGATCACCCTTTTCAACTGTTTTTTTTTTTATATATAATGAAAGTAATTATTTGGGACAGACAGACTGACTGACTGACAAACAGACAGACAGATAGGTAGATACGTAGATAGATCTATTAACCCTCTACGGTATGGAATATGATATCAATGAGGAAAAAATTATTTGTGATGTCTTTCCTACTTAAAATTAGACACTATAACAATATCAATAAAATGTTTCATTATTTTTTTATTTTGTAAAAGTTTGTTGCCTCAAGGCAACATTGTACCACAATGGACAACTTTAAACATTTGACATTTTCATCCAGAAAAAAGAAATATATTTATTGAAAACATCAATTTCTTTAAACGAACACTTGAACAAACAGATTTATCTAGATTTTAGTGTATTGCACATCTCATATTTAATAAAAAAATAAAATTTCAAATCCAGCTGTTGCTCTCAGGCAACATTGTACTATCGTGGATCACAAGTATAACTAAACTATCATATCTGTTGTCATACCAAAACATTATAATCAGTGTTTTTTTCAAAGTAAAAAATGAAAAATAATCATAACCTTATCCTAATATGCACTTTATCCTTACAAGCATGCACATACACACACAAGCACATGCATGCAAAATCTCCTACTTCACTAATGACATCTCAATGCTTGTGAAAACTGAGGAAGCAATTCAAACCTGGGACAATTTATGCCACTGGCCTAAGCAGCGGATGTAGTTACTAAGAGCCCGGATGGGACATGAAAGGTGAAGACTTTCTTGTTCTGGAGAATCATGAGGTGGAGGAAAGAAGGCTTACAGGATGACCAGCTAGAAGGCACTTTAGGTCTGGGGTGCAGAATGACTTTGACCATTAAAAGAGCAAAGTCTAAGCAGGAAAAGGCTACTGATAGGGCCTGCAGATCTCCTATACTTTTAAGTTAAGTCAATGCTAATAGAAGAGCCACTTTAAGAGTTAGTAACTTCTCTGACACTGGCTCAAATGGAGCCTATATTAACCTTCCTGGACCACACAAATGTCCCAAAAAAGAAACTTGCGGCCTGCAGATAGACCTCAGCCATCTGGCAATGTGCAAAAATCCAGACATCAAGGGGTGCCTCCCCATAGAATCACCATCAATAGATACTTGGGTAGAAGAAATAGCAGCCACATATACCTTACGCATAGCAGAGGCTAACCCTGGTGAGAGACAGGAACTCAGAATCATCTATACAACCTCCGTTGAGAGACCAGAAACCAGCTGCCATGCTTCAAAACATACCTAACCAGCATATGCTGTTTTTTTTTGTTTTTTTTTCAACAGGTAAGGCACGGTCTTGGGGGATTTAACCTCTTCATACCTTTGAGGATCTAATGATCAGGTCATGCTTCCCTAAGGACTTACCTGTCCCGTTCAGGGGCTAGACGAAGACATTCCAGACATCGAGACGTGGGTGCCATATTGTACCCTGCCCATGAGAAAGAAGGTCCTTCCTCAAGAGGATTTGCCAGGGAAGGGCTGTCTAGAGGAGCATGAGATCCGAGAACCAAGTCTGTGTGGACCAGTGAGGCGCAACCAGCAAGACTTGTTATCCTTTCCTGACCTTGCACAAAATCTGTGCAATCAGGCTCACTGGAGGCAACGCATACTTGTGTAGAACCCTGGGCCAGCTGTGTGCCAGCTGTGTGCCAGGCTATCTGTGTCAAGCAGAGCTTCGGTCAAGGAATACCATAGAGGGCAGTGAGAAGACTCCTGCAAAGTGAACAGATCTACCTGTGCCTCGCTGAATCAACTGCAAATCACCTGGACCGCCCAGGGATGGAATCTCCACTCTCCAACTGAAAAACAGGTTGAGAACAAATGCGGAGCTTGCTCTGCCTGACTGGGTATACCATATCAGCAGGGTTGTAGTGGGATGATATGTTTTATGAGAACTGTAAACTGAACTGCATTAAAGGGGACCTATTATGCCCCTTTTTACAATATGTAATATAAGTCTCTGGTGTCTCCAGATTGTGTCTTTAAAGTTTCAGCTCAAAATTCCCCACAGATAATTTATTACAGCATGTCAAATTTGCCCCTCTTTGGATGTGAGCAAAAACACGCCATTTTCGTGTGTGTGTGCCTTTAAATGCAAATGAGCTGCTGCTCCCGCCCCCTTTCCAGAAGAAAGCTTGTCCTTCAGATCAGTGTTGCCAGGTCCGCAGTTTTCCTGCGGAATTGGGCTACTTTAACAAAGTATCAAAGTAGGCAGGGTTTATGTTCACAGGCACTGAATGTAAATATTCCAGCTTGATGCCTCAGACAGTTATGAAGTGCAAGATGTAAGTAGCTAAACCAAATATTTCCTATTTGACCACTGTTTTACGAAAGAAATGTTAAACGACTGACAGAAATATTCAGGGATGTAAACTACTAATCTTTTGTCTAATTTCGCTGTTTAGAATTATGTACGTGATTACGCCAATGTACTATTGCGTAATTGTCAATGTGACAAGGCAAGAGACATTAACGAGTCTGTTTTCATCATATTAGGCATAGGATTAATAAAGTGAATGCACATATTGTGAATGAATTTAATAAACTCAGTTATCCCGGTAGCCTTCAGTAAAATCACTTGTCTAAAATGATTAAACATGAACATCAGCTGACCCAATATTTACATTCTTCACTTACATAGACGACAATGAAAAGACAAAAGTCAAACAGTCAAAAAGTCAAAGCTCAGTCAAAGCTCAGCTTTGGGAAGGGAATAGATACAGGGAAAGAGAAGGAGAGATGGTGATGAAGATGAGAGAAGAAGTGCAGGTAGGCCTACTGCCCACTGTGCCCAGGATGGGATTAGCATTATATTTATAAATATAAAAATATATTTTTGTAAATACAACTGGTCTGTTTTAACAAGAGACTTTCCAAGAATGCTGATATTTCACCAGTATTTCACCAATAGATCTGGGAATTTTCACTTTTGTATCACTCCTTGGTCAGTGTTTGCACGTTTCATACATACTGACAGTCTAAATAGCATTGACTTTAGCGCAACTTCCATAGTTAAGCCAGGAGGTGACTCTTTATGTGTCAGTAACTAAACCTTTCATTGTACAAATACGTTGACTAATTAAAGAAGGAAAAATAATTTATGCTACTACTGCATACTGACTTGGTTTTAAACCTATATTGTTATCCAATTTATGAGCCTTAAAACATCTTAAAATACACACATGTAGGTCAGGAAAAACACATTTTTCTTGGGGGAGCATGCCCCCGAACCCCCTAACAATCTCAATTTTGGGACCTCTGTATTTATAAAAACCTGTGCACAGCCCTGGTTTCCACTGGTTGTTTTTCATGACCGCGGGTTGAAGCAACCCCAAAAACGTGATATTTAGCCCCTGGAATGCGAATTTTACTAAGGGAACCCTCCCAAAAACATGTATTTTACCCCCGGAACATGATTTGTACTGGTGGATAAAATTAACAACATAGATCTGCTCTCCGTGAATACAGTCAGAGAGAGTGGTAACTTTAGCCACATTAGCTGTAGAGCATGCTAACAGGCACATCAGGAAATGCAATTTGGATCTTAGTGTTGAACTGACCCTTGTTTACAAATCAGTCTGGCATAAAATGATTTGCACAAATATTTAAGACTCTTTGGCACATTTCCTTACATAAATTAATCCACAGTGTTCTCCGTGGCTCAGATGCCGAGAGTCTTTGGAGACTCTCATTTGTACATTCAAAAACAATATTTGTTTTTATTTGTGACGATATAAACATGGTGGATTATGTGCAGATCAATCATGCCGGGTAAAATGCAAATGGGGCAGATCGTCACCAGTCATGGGCGGGGCTTACCACTACTGTGGCATTACAGTAGGGGGAAATCTGAAACAATATATTTTCAGACACTGCTTTTGATTTATGGGGATAATAAAAAAATAATGGGTGGATTTTTAGCATTATAGGCTGGCTGTTTACACACACTGTGGACACACATCAGTGTTCAAACACCATGTAAAAGTGAATTTTGCACAATAGGTCCAATGCACATCATTAACCAGGAGATGTTTTCATGCTACAGTTTCACAGTGACCTAACTTTGACAGAATGCAATCTTATTCTGTTTGCAATGAAACAACATTTCTGAACTATCAATGTGAGGCCCTAAGGCATACCCAGACTATAAAACGTTGCATTTACAGTAAGTGATTCTACATATTTCTCATCTCAGATACAGGACAAATAAGACATAAATGTCGTTCTGGTTCAGGGTGTGAGAATATAGATAGAAATATCCACTCAAAAATATAATTACCATGTTTTTCCTCTCTGTTTTCCAGAGTTGGCCAGTAGTTTCAGACATTCCAAGTAAACTAGCTTATTGTACGCCCTCAGAGTTCCAAAGGTA